AAGCCAGTGTATAAAGTTAAGATCTCCAAATCAATCTGTTGTATAATTTATTTAAAAAATGTAAACGTATTTTAAAAATACTCTTAAGCCCGTTTTAAATGAATCGATTAAAGATAATTTTAACTACAGAATTTCTCAATACTATCACAAGTCAGTCTATTTGTTATTTCTCGAATCTAAACAATTCAAGGTAGAATACAGTGCATATTTATATCCACTCTATTGTATTAAGTTAGTTGGACTACATTTTCATTTTTGCTCAAACCTTCCAAATTAAAATACATTTTATGACGCAGCTATATTTGTAAACAATTTTGAATTAATGGATTAAATAACTGGGCCACCCGTACTGTGTTTTCTTTAGTTTAGCCTCCTAATACCTTTTGCATTTTCAGATGCATCGTTAAATAATTACTAAATTATCCCTTAAGCTGCTTATAAGCCTTACTATTACCAATATTCGCAATATTTTAACAAGCTAAATTTCTATTCATTCTTTTGAGAGATCTCTTGGGTGTCCATAAATTATTAAATTGATTTCATATTGATACTTACTGCCGAATATTATCCATGCTTATGTGTGTATTCATTGCATATTACATTGTTTACTATTTTTGCTGCATCTGCTTTGTTGTTAGTTGCTTTGTAACGTAATCCTGCTGCTTCTATCTGCTTCATTTTTGTAGCCCTCCAGCAATAACACAACTAGAGAGAATGTTATAATCGAGCAAGCCAGCAAGCAAGCAAGGTGAAATACCCTATGCCTAAAAAACATTTCTGACTGTAAAGTTTGATGGCGTAGTATTGCAGAAAACCATTAATTAAATTAAATCTAAAATAAATATAGCTTACGTACCTTAAGAGTATAAATAAACACATTTACTCCTTTTTTACTTTGAATATAGAATAAAACATCCGAAGGGCATCATAAATCACAAAACAGAGAGCAAATTTCCAGGACAACTGGAATTTAATATTGCATAGAGAAAAAACTTATATGCTATTATGCATTCGCATTCAATTTATAATTTATAGCTAACTAACAGAACTATAGTGCATTCGAGAAGTAACGATTTTTTCAAAACCGCATACTATTTACATCAGATCTTCAATATTATCAGAAAACAATTTTTTTCTTTGCTGTACATTGACTTTATAAATAATTGGTAATTAAATTGCGATTATTCAGAGGTTATCCTGGATCAATGGAGATGATGATGGATGTGTTTTCTAGAAACCGAAGAAAATGAATAAATGTACAAAAACAATTAAAAAATTTCAAATATTGAAAACAATCCGTCAGTCCTTGGTAAAAATCTGCATACGCCCTTGTTCGCATAGAATGAAGAGCATACAAATGAATGCATTCATTTATTGAGGAGTCTGTGGCATGCTATAAGCCCCCTATATACATATATATGTATATGCACATATGTAGTAATATCGAGTAAACATTATAATTAAATCAAAGTGAGTATGTAACCGTGCAGTAAAAACATTTGTTAAACAGACAGTCAGCACTCGGCACTCAAAATTCAGCGTTCAGCTTTCAGTGTTCGATTCTGCCACTTGCCAGTGCGCAATGCAATCAACCGTGAGAAATCGAACAAACATAATCGTAAAACATATGCCAATGCAATGATAGCCGTTACGATCTACTCACTTAAGCAACAACACACACACGCACACATACACGCTCTTCTATAAATGAAACTCTCTATGACGACTCCGTTGAAAACTGGAATTACAGAATAATAATTGAAGCATTTTTATGAAGCATTTTAACAATTTCTTTTAATGGTGGCGTGGCTCTCACCCTTTTTAAAAAGTTCATGTAAATAAATGAACTCATACTCTGGAAAGGTCAGCGACACGGCAATTAAAACTTTAACTTCCCAGAATACTATAAATTTACATGCACTGCAACAACAAATATAAATAAATATACAAGTATATTTCATTATTATCATTTATTTCGATAGGTAGGTGAAGCGCCAGTCAGTCAGTTATAAGAAGTTTATTCAGTCTGTCAACTTTCATAACATTTTATAAATGGAAAAGCATCTTACTTTATAGAGATACAATTTTTTCGTTTGTAGGACACATTTAGATACAAATTAATTGTTATCGGGGTCCAAATTCTACACAAAAACCGTACTTCTGCTTGAAACTTTTATATTATTATATGGTAGTTAGTGGAAAAAATAACTGATCTAGTTACAAGCTTTTCAAACTATTTTAAAGAGCTTAGCGTCATCATACACAATATAAACGCTTAAAAAATATATATCGTGTACGTACATACTTATATAATGCTATATAATGTACCGTTGTACAAAACTATAGAAAGACATTCGTTATCGAAAATATGCCCTGTAAATGGATATTTGTAGTTGATCTCCGCTTTTTATATAGTTTTTCTATTGTAGGACATTTCTTCAAGCATTCGCATCTACATTCCCCATTTAGATTTAAAAAAAAAAACAGTTATAATCGAGATTAAAATTCTTCAAAAACACCTTACTTCCGTTTGAAAATTTCAAAATATTTTATGGTAGTTATTGGAAAAAATAACTGATAAAGTTACAAGCTTTATTGAACTATTTTAATGAGCTTTACGTAATACACAAAATTAAAGCTTACAAAATATTTATTATATTTATGTGTATATGTATATAATACCATATTATGTACCTTTGTACAAAACTATATGACGGCATTTTCGTTATAGAAAATTTGCCCTGTAAATGGAAATTTGTAGTTGTCTCCGCTTTGGTTCACTGACTTGACCAAAATACTTTGCCAGCGACATACTTAATTCCTTATAATGGCAAATGAGAAAGTCACATGAGTTTAAATGCTTGAACACACACACACACACACACACACACACACACACACGCACAAACACAAACACAGACGCAGACACACACATGCACATAGGAGTATAAGGAGCAATAGTCGTTACTCACTGTATATAAATGTGTACTCATTTCGCTTTACTGCATTTATAGTACTTAGAACAACATTCTTATTTTTACGGTGGTCCTTCTTGTTATTTCAGTTGCTTCTTAAGTTGACGGCCATGCGTCTCTCAACGTTTTGTTAAAAGTTTCGTGTACAAATTTGAGCATCATTAGTTTGTTTTGCATTTTCCAACGTCACGCGATGTAAGCCAAACTTAAACTGATTGATGGTTTTGTAGATGGCAATAAGTACATACTCGTGTATGTATATACAAGTACCATCTACGGTAACTAGTATGTATCTATGATAACAAAAGCTTTGGATATGCATTTCATATATACCATACAAGCTAAAGTCCAGCTAGGCAGTGCATAGTTCTGTTTCGCTGTTAAAAATGCAATTCTATATCATTTGTTGAATATCTTACAAAGAATTATTGATCTTAAATAAAGACTATATATAGCTTTCAAAAAATCCTTCGACCCATGGGGTCATAAAGAAAATCAAATTAACAATCAATTAATAAATCAAACTAATAAGTAGCTTCTCTAAAAATTTGACGATTTTAAACCACATTAGAGTTTTATAAATTAAATGCGAATGCAAAGTTGTGTGGCTTTGGAAGGACAGTATTGACGAAATTCTGTAGTGGGGGAAGGAAAGGATCAATCAAAAAATAAAATACACTGTTGTTACATAGAAATTAGGAAAGTCCGCATAGCAAGTTTGGTTAATATGGGCTCAGCTATTATCGCAATCCAGGCGATCATCCAGACGGACGGAAAAGTCGAGGTAGATGAGTCATGCTGACAAAATTTGAGTCTCGCAACAATTTAATAATTAGAAATAGCAATTAATATCGAGCATCGGGAGTGCTAGAGATTCTAAAATGGAAGTAAATGTGAAAATATATCTGATAGATCCAGGGTACAGCGTATCCAGCTGTGGAGACGGTCTGAAGAACGGGTCAGATATGAGCCAGCTTTTAAATTCAATATCCTTGATATAATATTTTTAACAGCAATAATGACAAACATAATTTTAAATCGCAATAATATTTAAGAGCAACTCCAATTAATAAAGGGTAGAAATGACTAAGCGAATACACATTTTATGCCCACAACTATTCTTTAAAAACGATGAAACATATGTATATACACAGTACTTGTATACGTTCGAGTATATATTTACTTGTATGTGCACATATCCGAATTTCAAAAATGCTTTTCATGCCCTCTATCGCAGCTGCACAACAAAGGCCAGTGCAACAAAGTCTGTCACATTTATTATTTGCCATTGTTGGCCCCAATATTCGAGTTGCGAATACTCCAAATACATAGTCAAACATCATCCCCAATGCAGAAACTTTACCTGTTGGTTGCGTTCGGTTGCTTGATGGCTCGGGCGATGCCTTTTATATTCTATTTACACACCTTTTGTTTTGTGGACTTTAAGCGAATTTGTTTACACGATCACAAAGCAGAAATGCCAATTGAATTCGATTGAGCTTGTGTTGCCACCAACTCGTACTCGTATTCGTACTACATACAAACAGATATTGCAATCTTGTCATCCGCCCACATATGCAAATATCTGCCGAAAATATTGCAAGTGCCCTGCTATATTTGCTATATTTGTATATAGACGGGCAAATAGAGTCAGAAAGGGGTGAGGGGGAGTGCAGCTCATAGGGCATGGGGCAGTTGGCTGAGAGTGGGCGTTTTTTTCAGCTTCCGGTTATTTGGCTTTTGCGCTCTCTGTTAACTTTCTTTTAACTTGTTTCTTGCACACTTCGTACATTGTTTGGCCCAGCCATGGCCGAGAGGAGGCATTCTTATTGGTATTTGTATTGCATTGTGTGTTATTTGTTGACTTTTAGCTTTCGAGCTGCAGCTGCTGATTGTCTTGCCCTCAATTCAATATCCAACCAATTGCGAACGCATAACGAAATAGGTTCTAAATAATTTCCTAACTTGTTTTCTCTCTCCTTCTTTTTTTTTATTTTGCTTCTTCCCGCTTCCGCTGGTCTGCAGCACCTGCACCGGCGACGGATGCGCCCGCGGACACCGCCCAACGTTGCAACACGGAAGAGTGCCAGCTACCCTACTGCTTCTGCTCGAAAGATGGAACACAGATACCCGGCGAACTGGAAGCCGAAAAGGTAAGACCATTTCCTTATACCCTCCATTTTAAATGACAAACTATATTGTGTTTGGTAGAAAAGTTTCAATGACCTGCTATTTTAAGAGAAAATCACTAATGGATATACTATATATCTTAGACTATAATCACACTATTTTTAAACCACTCACCAAAAACAAAGTTAAAGTCCAAACAATTCCTGGATCGCATGACTTTTTTAAATTAAATAAAAAAGACAATCTTTGCAAGTTATTGGCATTTAGTTGAAAGAAAAAAAAAACAAATATTTTCTTTAGTATTCAAACTGCTGCAAAAATGCAGAACAAGTTGGAAATTAATTAATATAATTCTATTGAGGAGAGTGAAGGGTACAAAATTTTGGGGCAGCTAGGAATTACTTCTAAGATTCAACTCTTTTCATTGATCATCCATTCCTGCTTTTAAGTGTTAATTCGCAAAGCGATAAATTGTAAACCATTGACAGCTTTTACTTTTACAATGGCAATGCAGGCGACAAAGACATCGCCGGCGACTTGGAACCCGACGTCTACAACGACGTGAATTGTGAATTGGACTTGCAGTTGGAGCTGAAGCTGGAGATCGGAGTTGGAGTTGGAGTTCGGAGCTTGGCCACCAGTGTGGCAATAAATCTGGGTATTTGCATACGAAGGCTGGTGCTGCTGTTATCATCGCTTTGCATAAGGAAATTGTACTGTGTTGTCTTTTCCATTTGTTGTGTTTACAGTTGCTTCTGCTGTTGCTATTGTAGTTGTTGTAGTTGTTGTTGTTGCTGTTTTATCTGTTCTTGTTGATTCGTATATCCTGTTTAATAACTACGGATTGTTTATTTGCCCAAGAAATATGTATGTACTTTTGGTTGGGAAGCCGTAAATCGAATGAAATTCAACTCTGAGTTGATTTTTGCTTCTTCCTATACAATTTCTAGACTCACTGACTTACTTACTACATTTCAGACTAAAAGCACTTTGAAAAATGTGCAATTATTCTTAAATATACTTGGAAGCAACAGCAATTCATCTCTCAGCGTTCATGCAGTCGCTTTAATAGAAAGAAACAACAAAAGTATTGCTATGTTGATACTAATTCAATATCTGTTCTATAATTTATCATTTTTTGTGCAACACCTAATACCTAATAAGATTTCCAGCAGCTGTTATTGTTTATATATTTATTGTTTTCATAACTTATTATATTTTATGAATTGATTAATTATTTTATAAAACATTTTTCCATACATTGGGTTTCGATGAGATGTCATTATGGTTTAACTAATGTTGCCTTGAAAATTAGCTGAAAACAAAATGATTTCGATATCGAAATAAAGAGGATGTGGCATTCGTAATTAAAAAAGTAAATTCAATAAATCATACCCTTTCCACGCTTTCTGGTATTAGCGTTTACGTAAAATCGAATCAACTTTTAACCTCTGTTTCATAATCATTCAATTTTCGATCGGCTTTTCACACAATCCACGGTGTCGCTGTCCAGTTCTAGGCCATCCTAGAGAGCTCCAATTAAGTAGCGTAAAGGATAACACTTCACCACAACATATCTCCAACTACGTTACTGTCAATCATTCCCCACCCTATCATATCTCTTCGGAACTCCGAATCATAGCAAAAAGCACTAAACCTATGCCAAGTTTTTTTCGCTTAACTGGGCATCGCAAGTCGTTTATATACATTAAATATATACTCAAACACACATAGTCATATATACATAAGTATATTGGAAATGCAAATATATGAATTAACTAATTGACCTTTTATAGATGATACCCATTAGCAGTAATCTAGCCATAAATACAGCTTGCTATGATATTTGATCTATGTAATTGTCTTCTGCATACACACCTACCCATATATGTATGTGTGTTTGTATACTAAGTATACACTGGTCGGCACAATTATTTTGACGAGAAGAAAATCATACATTTTTGTCAATAACTGGTTATTGGTTTAAGATATCAAAGGAAACTTTTTTTCTCAATTCCATATTGGTATTACAAACTTAAAAATAATTCAAAGGATATATTTTTATAAGAACTTTTAAAATTATAAATCAAGGTAATTTTCATGGGTTGGCATAAGTATTTTGACAATGGATATTAACAAAAAAAACAAAGCTTAATACTAAACAAAACATAAGAAATTGATGGTAGATTAATAAAATGTATACCCGCCTTTGGCTTCGATAACTTTTTGAAGACGTCTTGGAACTGAGTCCACTAAATTTTGAAGGACCTCTAATGGTATCTCTTTCCAAAGAGAAGTGACCTCGGAAATAGTTTCTTCTTCGGTTTTATGCAAAGACGCATTTCTTTTACGTTTTACAAGAGACCACACATTCTCAATAACGTTTAAGTCCGGACTTTGTGGTGGCCAATCCAGAGTAGTAACACCAACATCGCTTAAAAATGCTCTTATCATTTTGCTTTTGTGGCATGGGGCGTTATCCTGTTGCAGGATAAATGATTCTCCAATCAGCCTGTCACCGGAAGGGAATGCGTTTTCGTTAAGGGTACTCAAATATTGTTGCTGGTTCATTGAGCCGGTGATGGGAACGAAATCACCTAACCCATTGTACGCAATGCATCCCCAGAACATGACTGAGCCTCCGCCATGGCTCACTTTTTGACATACGGGGATATTTTTTTGTCTTTGAAACTGTGGGAGCCTTACAAAAATCTTTGTTTTTGATGAATTATATTCAAAGGAGCTTTCATCTGTCCATAGAACGCTTCTCCAAAACTCTTTTGGCTTATGCAGATGCTCCTTTGCAAAAGCCAATCTTTTGAGCTTGTTCACCTTTGATATGTAAGGTATGTCCTTCGCTTTGTATGTCTTAAAATCTTCTTCTTTTAGGCGTCGCCGAACAGTACGCTCACTGATTGGAGTCTTGGTCGACTTATTCCATTGATCTGCAGCAGCTTGCGGCTTTAAATGAATATTTTTTTTAAATTCCCGCAATAGGACTCGATCTTCAATGGGTGTTGTTTTGCGGTTAGCACCTGATCTAGGCAAGTTTTTGACGTCATTGTGGGTCTTATATTTGTTAATTTGATAGTGGACTGTTTGCCGCGACAAATTATATTCATTTGCAATGTCTTTTGGTGCTACGCCGGCATTAAACTTCGCCACTATTGAGGCTCTAACAACATAACTTAATTCTGTCTTTTTTACCATTGTATCGATTACTTTTGAATCAAATTTTAATGAAAATAATGTAAAAAGGTCAACAAAAATTGTTACACCAAAGTTATTTTAGTATCACTTGATAAAACGTACGCGAAAACGGCGACAAGGTTTGGTCAAAATACTTATGCCGTGCCTGAATCCGCAGTCAACTCACATTGTCATTTGTAGAAAAAAGGTGTGAAGAGTAATAGACAAAATATTTTGCCTACATATTGTTGTTGCTATGAACTCAATATCCCGTATGAAAATTGTACCGTTATTCCTTGAAACTAAAAGCAACCAGCACCGATAGTCGTGAGTACAGTTCGTCAAAATAATTGTGCCGACCAGTGTATGTATCGCAAATGAAGGGGATAAAAGTATTGCGCGGCTTAGTGCTTGTTTGTCTGATTTTCTATGCCTAAATACGTATACACAGTAATGCTCAACTGAACAGATCCAGGCAATTGACTGAAAATAGTTCTGGAATACAAGAAAGTATTAGTGTTGAACCAAATGCCGTAATTGATTTGGAAAAATCTCTACAAAAATAAGATGCTCTCTTTAAACTGCTAAACTAAACTGGCTATAATTTTAAAAGCAGGTTAATGCATTTTGTCGTAAATTGATAGATTAATCCCAAACAATACAGATATTACAAATATCTGAAAAAAATATCATAAAAATAAATGCCACTACATATTGATTGGATGGATCGGATGGATGCAAGTAGAGTTGTTTCTACGATATGCGAGTAAAGGCATTCATTCATCGCAAACTTATTCCAATTCCCATGAAAAGACATCGTATGAACATTTTGAAATAAATAAATTTTGAATAAAAATAAACGCTTTCCAAAAATATCAATTCGGTATGTTTATTTTTGAAAAGTTCTCCTTAGTTTGGAGCTCACCTTGTAGATTTATATCTTAATATTATAAAATCCTATTATAAAATTTTAATCAGGAAATTGGTGTGCATGATTCAAAGTCCTTTTTTTTGATTCTATTTCGTTGAGCGTAGCTGTATGTACAAATGTGTGAATGTGTTTGATAGACATTTTGAAGCGCACATTAGTTGTGGTTTTGGCATGCATGATAAAAACAAGAAGAATATGAGAGAATGTGACTGTCGAATTAGCCCATCCACGAAATACCCTTTAAAAAAAAAAAAAACCAAAAAAAGAAACTTTAGGCACAGGGCATAAAAAGTGCGAGGAAATTAGGAGCTTTAACAGATTATTCAAATAATCCAGTGCCGCTTGAACTGAACCCAAAATTGCCTTTGCAGAATTTATACAAATTGGCAGTCAGAAAGATACACCTATTAATATATACCCTATAACATTGGAAATGTATACTAGGAATTTTACTGATTGTAAAAGGGCGTACAATTTTTATTTTAGAGAGCTAGCTGCATTAGATATTGCTTGGATTGGTACAATTAATCGGGTAAATGCGATTGAATATAACATTTTACTCCTTTCCTTAAATTTATAATTTGCCCGGGAAAAAAATCTACAAGCTCATTACTTGTATGTATTAAAACGACGAAGACTAAGGTTCAAAATTTCTTTTAGGTGAATGTAGAAAGAAAATTGCTTTGAATGTATGGGATTGTTTTGTAATTTAAAAACCGCATATCGTCAGGCAATTACTTGTATGTTGTCTAGCTTGCTAATATTATGTTCTGGTACAAAAGTGAATGAATTACCGAAATATGTAGGCATAACCAAGGGCAAGAAAATGTGTAAATCAACAGAAAATTAGCATTCGGATCAGTTGCATGATAAAAGAAATATGCTCGCTTTCCTTTCAAGGAA